GGAGAAAGAAACCTATGTGTGTTGACAATAGTGGCTTGTAACATGTACGCACGGTTCAAAGCTAGTCTACCGGGTTGTACTACAAGTTATGAAACCAACACTAAGGTAGTGGTTCAAGTCTAACAACACCATTACTTTATGCATGGATTTTGCTGGAATTATTCTGGATCCATTTAAAAATTATTTTCAATATATTGAAAATGGCGGGGGATTGTTGGAGTTAATTTCAATATATTGTAGGGACGCAATTAATATGTTGTGCCTATTGGGTGTTTTCGATATATTGTAAAGACACAACTAATAGGTTATGCATATGGACTCCATATGAAAAGACATTAACGAAAAGTTATATCTAGGACCATAACCAAGGGTTACGTCTAATCCTTAAGAGTTTCCTCTAACTCTATAAATATGGATCATTTGGATACTTTTAGTGTACAATGAATTCACCAAATACTTTGAATATTTTTAATGACATTTTTTATCCTTGTATCAGGTTGTTGGTTCACTAAAGTGCGTAGTGAAACAAAATGATCTCTATTTTATATTATAGGGAATTCGCCTAGATAATTGCACTGTATAGTGGGCAAATTTAGCCTAAAGGAAAGCAAGTTTACTTGTGACTTGGAGACAAAACTTTCTTTTGTCCTAATCATAAATTCTTCTTTTTGTTTTTTAATCTAGTGCAACCATTGTTGTCCACTATTCATGAAGTAGAATTCCAACAATCTTTGATCTAGTGCAGTCAACCATCCGTTAAAGTGTTTGGCTATTTGGCATCGTCGACTTAGTCGTCGCCTGGATAAAGTCGATAAAAAAATCAACGACCGAAACTTAAGAAAATCAAAATAAAATAAAATAAATTCTTGTGTGCATAATTTTGTGAGTGCATCACATATTAATTATTTGATTTTTGGGTTAATCAAATAAAGAACTTTGATCCCAATAAAGTCCTAATTTTGTGTATTTGTGTTTGTTACATGGAATATTTAATTGTAAAAATGAATTTGCAATTTATATGATAATTTCATGTGATACATAGTATGCAAATAGTGATATAGTTATGAATTTATATCATATATGTTAATATTTGATTTGAAATTCATGTCTTACTATATGTTTGAGTTGTTTATGTCTAATTTAAAGTTTCCATGAGATCTCAAAGAAAAAAAAAGGAGATTTTATGCTTGGAAACTCGAAACTCTTTATATATAATAAAAGAGTTTGAAGAGAATGAAAAATTCTCTATTAAAGTTAAAAAGGAGAATCATCCTTGACCTAAGTCCACATTGTGGAAAATGGACAAAGCATCAAGTCCATGTTCGAAATCATATCAGCTAAAATAACAATGAATTAGGTATTAGGGAAGTTACCATATTGTAACAAAAAATGACACTAAGAGCTTAAGTGTAAAATACTTGTAACAAGAGAAATGAAGCTAATTTTTCCAGGAATATGAAAAAAGAAATCGTGACATGATGATTTCAAAACTTCGTATTAGGGAAGATGATTTCATTGTTGGGTTGATTGCGAAGTTTGAAAGAACAGACTGGTTCTTCAATTTTTTAAATATGATCATATTAATTAACAGTTTGTATGCATTATTATTTAAATTATGATCACAAGATGAGTTAATGAACTCAGGTTAAGAATTAAAATTCTTAACAAGATTTGAGTCAATAGACTCATGTGAAGAGATGATCCTTAAAATTTGAGTTAACAAACTCATAAGTAAGGGCTAAATATTGAAAGACATTTGGTCTAAAGACTGAATGAGTTAAAGGGATATGTGTAAAGTCCAGGAATGATTACTTGCATTAGAACCTCAATTCAACGCTAGTAAATACTCTAGTCTTGAATTCAATGAGCGATAGTACAATGTACAAGTAATTGAGCATTACAATATTTATCCCAAAGTAGTTAGTACTGTATATTTCCCTCTGGGTATCATGTTGAGAATTGACTCTTAACAAACTCTTGTAAATGCTAAAATGGCGGGAGCATTAAGAAGTTTGCCTATATGAATATCGGACTGGGCATCCACAAAGCTTGGAACTTGGCTTTGTTAACATTCATGAAGAAATATGGGTACAAGACCGTACGTACCATACGCACTGGTAAGGTGCAAGCAAGTTGAGGAGAAAGAAACCTATGTGTGTTGATAATAGTGGCTTGTAACATGTACGCACGGTTCAAAGCTAGTCTACTGGATTGTACTACAAGTTATGAAACCGACACTAAGGTAGTGGTTCAAGTCTAACAACACCATTATTTTATACATGGATTTTGCTGGAATTATTCTGGATCCATTAAAAAATTATTTTCAATATATTGAAAATGGCGGGGGATTGTTGGAGTTATTTTCAATATATTGTAGGGACGCAATTAATATGTTGTGCCTATTGGGTGTTTTCAATATATTGTAAAGACACAACTAATAGGTTATGCATATGGACTCCATATGAAAAGACATTAACGAAAAGTTATGTCTAGGACCATAACTAAGGGTTACGTCTAATCCTCAAGAGTTTCCTCTAACTCTATAAATATGGATCATTTGGATGCTTTTAGTGTACAATGAAATCACCAAATACTTGGAATATTTCTAATGACATTTCTTATCCTTGTATCAGGTTGTTGGTTCACTAAAGTGCATAGTGTAACAACATGATCTCCATTTTATCTCATATGGAATTTGCCTAGACAATTGCACTGTATAATAGACGAGTTTAGCATAAATGAAAGCAAGTTTACTTGTGACTTGGAAACAAAACTTTCTTTTGTCCTAACCATAAATTCTTACTCTTGTTCTTTGATCTAGTGCCGCCATTGTTGTCCACTATTCTTGAAGTAGAATTCCAACAACGAAGACACCGAATCAATGCACTATTTTAGTGGAATAAATGATATTACACCAGATTTCGTGTAAATTGTCTATTATACTATTTTTTGTGCATTATATTTTTACTTTGATCAGTATATTTGTTTGTTTTGTAGTTAAACTTGCAAAATAAATTATGTTGTGATAATTATACATATTAATAATCTTGTTGAGATCTTCAAAATAAGATCCATATCGAATATAAATTTTTTTAATAACATTAATTTTTAGTTATAACTAAAACTTAATATGCAAAAAAATTAAATAAAACTTGATCCTTCTACAATTAAATAAAAAATGATTAAGAAACAAATTCCACAAAAATTATCATCAAATTATAAGATTTTAATTTATCAACAAAATAAAATTTAACTTAGTATATTTAACATTTAGACCTTTTGGTACATCAAGATTAGAGTGCAAAGAATTTTAGTATAAAAAAATACTTAGAATATTCTATTTCTCCACTAAATTTAGTGCAAATTATAGTGCAATACTTCTGTCCTAAAATGTCATCTAATTTGAATTTTGAGACTCATACAATTTAGACTATATTTTGAGACAAAGGAAGTATTTGTTTAGAAAAAAAAAGTTCATAAAAAGATTTTGTCCTAGAAAATTCCAATTCAGAAAAATCTAAATAATCGTCAAAATCTACCATCAAATTATTTTTGTCCAATTATCACCAACTGAATCTTAGTAATTTGGGTAAAAATAAAACTTTAGCGTATAAAAAGTGGATTATATGTTTGGATTGGATTAAGGCTCTGTTTGGTTGGATTGAATTGGACCCAAGAATTGAAATTGGAGACCCTCAATTCTAATTATTGTGTTTGGCTGAAAAAATAGGGGTTCCGGAATTAGAATTATAATTCAAGATGAAGCTCAATTCTTTATTTTCAATTCTTTTGTGGGAGCAAATAATTACAATTCGAACTCTAGGGGCTTTAGAAAAAAACGCGGGTCACATACGGGTCGTTTTCCGGGTTATAACAAAACGGGTCCTTTTAAGTTTGAGGTTTTTTTTTTTTTTTTTGTAGCGATGCACATGCGCTTTTTTTCCTTTTTCATTTTCGTTTTTTTCCCCTTTTTCTTTTAGCGTTGCTGCGTTGGGCTTTTTTTTTTTTCCTCCTTTTTTTGCATTTTGTTAAATTAACATATGTTTTCATTTATGGTGCAAACCAGGTGTAAATCATATTAATATTGAATGAGATCTATATATTAAAATTAGTATTCTTTTAACAAAAACTATCAAATGTATAACGACACCTGTAATTTATTTTAAATGGATGGTATTAACTATTGGTTAACATTTTTTTTATCAAATGTATTTTGAACTATACTTCAAATTTTTTTCTCTAAAAATTATGTAAGCTTTCAAGAAGTCGAAATATATATTATTCCATATGTAATTATATACTAAAAATAAAAAATAATTAATTAGCACCATGTATTAATGTTAATTTATACATAAATGATTGGTCTTTACTTTTAACTATATAAAAATTTTACTCTAAAATCCAAAAAAAAAAAAAAAAACTAAAGATTAAAAATTTATAAATAATAAAAAAGAGAGGAACAAGGATGTTCTACATGTTACTTGTGAGAATTCCGATCATCCCATTCATACTTACGTAATAATAAAAAAAGATTTTCCACAAATATGTATGTATCTATAAATTATAAAATTGGTATATATTATTCAAACAACAAAAGTTCTAATATAAATGTATATGATAAATTTATTTTTGTTATCTTATATATGTAAGTAATAAATTGTTTTGATATATAAAATTAAGTATTTATTTTATTCAATGAAATAAAATACTAAATTATAGTTAGATAATAAAAAACTAATTCTAATTTTAGATTTTATAAATTTATAAGGATCCAAACACAAGAATTAGTATTAGAACCTTAATTCTAGTCAATTCTTACAATCTTCCAAACGAAAGAATTAAGATTGAATTGCAATATTAATTTCTCATTTTCCATTCAATATTATTATAATTCTAATTCAATGACAATTCAATCTAACCAAACGGAGCCTAACTGGAATTAGGATTGTAGTTCTCCAATATAACATTTCCTTAGGACTTAACAAGGAATAAGAGTAAACGTAAGGCCCCAGAGATAAAAAAAAGATAGCAAAGTTAAAAATCCGCTGCGTTTTGTTTTCGCATTCGAAACCGGAAATCCAATTCTCAGCGCCGTTTGCACTCAAGAGCACAGATTTCCTCCTCCATAGCCGCCGACACATCCGCCGCGTTCTAGAAAAAAGTAATTCTGATTTAAGCATTCTTTTTGTAAAATTGGAAATTTTCTCCTGGATTCAATCGTAATCTAAGTGTTTATTGATTCATACGCAAAGTTGAATTCGCTTGATGACGTTTTTCTTTCGAGATATGCTTAATGTTCTCTTGCTTCTGTATGGGTTTGAGTCAATGTTTTGATGTTGACAATGGATCGGTCCGTTTTCTTCTTTTTGAAATTTGTGATTGCTTTTCGGGATGTTCTCTGCTTTGTAGCCAAAGAAATGATTTCGTTTGAGCTAGGTTTCTGGGAAATTAGCTTAGCTGGAGTTAGTATTGTTATTTTGTCTAAGTAGATATTGATATCTTGTTAGTTGGGGATGGGATTTCATTGCTTAAGTTTTCTGTTGGATTCACGATTGGTTATAACTATGAAAATTCTGACTGGAGTGTCCGTTTAGCCGATCTGGCATGTTTTGTTAAATATTGGATCTTGATCTTAGTTTTCTCTTGATCTGATGCTTTTATGAGATGCATTATTTGAAATTGAGTCTTCACCAGAGAGGATGCATTTTTCTGAGTGGACAAGATATTTTAGATTACTCTAATTTCTGTTTCATTCGGAGCATTGAATGCTCTTCACCTTACCGGGCAATGATATTCCTTACTTATTCATAGCTGATATTTGAACAAGAGTGTTCCTTTGATTGTGACGTGATCTTTTGGCATTCTTTCCCCAGAATCCTTTAGGATCATACTTTTTGAGATACGGGAATATTTATTATTCTTTTTCCTTTCATGTGTGTAAATATCTGTCGAGGAAGATGTTAGATAATGGAACATTCAAAGAAGCATTCGTATTTTAGTCCTTTATTTTGTGATTGGTTGATTCTTTTTTTTGTTAAGATGAACCTTTTAGTTTTGTATAATCAGGTCGAAGTAGCATTGGAGATCTGAATGTGTTCATATCAGTCTGATTTTGGAAGTATATATGTATTCCCAAGCTCCTAAGTTATTCGTATATTTAAGGCCCATCTGATCTTCCCTCCAACTTCCAAATTAGCTCTTAATTACAGTAACTTTATCCTTTAATATTAGTTTGTTTAGCTGAAAATACTCGTTCATTATGTTATGTTTGTTCTCAGCACTTTCCAATTCAATTTTCAGAGGAAAAGATTCCAATCGATTGTAACAATGAATACCAAGAAAGGATTTTGTTGATTATGAATTATAATTGTTGCATTGGCTATAATATGTTTGCTGCGTTCTTATACCCAGAGATTTTGCAAATGCGGTACAAGGATTGGTAATTAGCGCCCAATCTAATGTCTCATTGCTAGTCCTCTCTAGTATGTAACTTACAGTGGTTCGAGTTTTCAAAGAAAGTTCAACCCGCTGTTAGGATCTCTGTTTCCTTACTCCTTTACTTTAAACCCAAGATTGGATGGTGAATATTGAAATCTTCTTCTTATTATTGGTTGTAGTGCTACATTTTTCTGTTGTACTGCTTCATACTTTTCTCTTTGTAGTTGTTTAATACTTTTCACTTTGTCTTTATGTTTTGATTTGCGTGCCTTTAAATATTTGAAATTTTGATTGTCTTAACGCTGCTTCAAACTGCTCAATTCCTAAGGTGAAACTGTTGGCACAGATATGGCTTTGGGAGGGACAGGTCCGCAGAGAGGCACTGCAGCAGCTGCTGCTGCCAACATGCGTCGAAGGAGGACAGGCAGCAGTGGGGCAACAGCTGGAGCTGGTGGTACCATGTTGCAATTTTACACAGACGATGCACCGGGCCTCAAGATTTCTCCCAATGTCGTGCTTGTCATGAGCATTGGCTTTATAGCATTTGTTGCGATTCTTCATGTAATGGGCAAGCTGTACTTCGTCCGTAGGGAGGCTTAGTTATGATAATAATATGAGGATATGCTAGTATGAGACCTAAATTGCTGGTAGCCAGTTTCTGGTGTTTGAAGGCTTAGTTATGATAATCATATGAGGATATGCTAGCCCTAGACGTGAATTGCTGGTAGGCAGTTTCTGGTGTTTGAAAGGTTTAGAGTAAGCGTCTCTCATTCATAGTAACTTTTATTAAAATTTACATGTAACTCCAAATGTCAAGGTTTTACTTATAAATTGCTAATGAAGATAGTAAGGAGTATACAAGGAAAGCCATGTTACCTCATTTCTTGTGTGAAAATGTTGGGTTAATTATGTGTATTCGGCTTTGAATATTAATCATTTTATTACTCTGAACTTTCTTCTTGGCTTTGGATTTTCACTCTGAATAAGCTTATTCATATGAATATATGGGCAGTGAAAAAGGGCAACTTCATCTTCTTTTTTTTTTTTTTTTTTTTCCTGGTACAAGAAACTTGATCCTTTCTTATCTTATAATGTGAGTTATCTAATTTCACAGTGATATCCGAAGAATAGATGAACATTACCAGTGGCAATGTGTACCACTAGCCTCACCGGAGTCAAAAATATCTCAAGTAGCTTCAAAATATCCCGAAGGTTCATTTGCCATTTATACGGATGATCAGAAACAAAGGTTGATCAAGATTAGACTGCAATGAAAACCTAAAAAATATTAGCAGGCTCATGTTCCAGATCAGCCTTTTATACCCATCATTTGCCGCCCCTCGGTGCAAAAAACTGAGGTTGAAGGGAATTCATGAGACAGATGTGTACTTCTAAATAAATGGTGCAAACTCCCAAAATATTAATGGCATCTATCAGAAACAGATCCAATTGCAGCTGTTCCTAAGCTCCCAAAGCTACTAAGTGGTTTCACCCTGCACCATTAGTCTGCAGCCATGAAGGGGTCTGTATCGCCAAGGTTGGCTACCAGAGGTTCCAACTCAGATAAATCTTCATCTTCCGGTGAAAAATATGTTGGGAAAGGAAGCAATGTTGTGTCTGGCTTTTTGAATACAGAATCTTTTATAAACACAAAGTTTCCTGTGGCACCTGGCACCTGACAAGGAATGAGCAAGTATTAATCATCTTCACGAGAAAAGGAAACCCTTTGCCTAATTACAATACCGGGATGAAAAAATGGAATTAGCTTGAAAAGTAAAACCAGCTGTGAGAAAAGAGGTTCCTTCATTCACTACTACATGAACTTTGCGTGATGGAAATATTAGCATAGTTTCAGTTATGATTCAAAGGACATGATACTGAATAGCTGCTAAATTTTGTGCAGAAAAGATTTTGCAGGCAAGTTATTCATTCAAAAAGTTCATCGAACTCAACCCAATCAGTTATTCTGAATAGAAAAACTTCAAGAGAAAAGAAAAAGGGAGGAAAGAAAGAAAAACATGTATCACTAACCTGGCCTTTTACCCAAATCAAATTTCTTGCTGGGTCAACTTTGTAAACCCAGATATTTTTTACGGTTACTTGCTTTCCTCCCATGCGTCCTGGCATTTTTTTACCTTTAAACACCTGCAAGAGCGGTGGGGGAAGGGGGGGGGGGAATGAAAATTATTCTCCCAAGAACGAAATGCTTATGAAATTTCTTCTCTGACATGCAGTCTTCTATGCACAAGGGTACAACAATTTTGAGTCTTATCTTTTAAGTTTTGTGCAGTATGTGAAAATTGGATTACAGCTGGCGCTGTTATTACTATGGCAAATTAACATGTGAACCAGTAGAATCAGATCTTTCCAGAAATACAAGAAAAAACGGAAATGACTTCAGAAAACAACTATCAGAGGTAACACTAGCCAACTTTGAGCCCTTTTAATGAACACATGCCATAACAAACCGACAAGGAACTCAATCAACAAAGAAAATGCTTCTCCTTAGCTTTTTTCCTTATCCAGTACCAGCAATCATAGAATTTCTTCTACAAAGAGCTACGCGTAACATGACAAGAACCATTAAAATTAGCCTTTCAGTGGGTCAATCAACCAGCTTGAGCCATCAGAGTCTGGTGCTAAGAGAATTCAAGCAACTTGAGTCTTGAGTTATTTAAGAAGTTAATGAGTCACCTACTTGTATGATTGCAAACTAGTTTGCTAAAGGTAGGCAAACATCAAGACAGATTGTCCTAGGCAAAAGATAACTCTGGTTGACAAAACAATAGTTTGATGAAAGAAAAAATACCTTTCCAGGGGCATCCCTTTGACCAGTAGAACCACCGCTTCGATGTGATTTAGAATGACCATGAGAGGCAGGCAAACCCCCAAAATCATATCTTTTCATAACACCCTATCAATACAGAAAGAAACTATTCCATATTAAAACCTCAACTAAGAAAAATGAATTCTGCGTTCCTCATACAATGCAGATTGATTTCGAATCAAACAACCAGAACTGTTTAAAACTTCTAACGAGCTATTACTCACAACTTTGTTGATGAGTATTGAGAAATGCCCTACCCTACTAGAATGGTTCGAAAGCCACAGTAGAGAAGACTTAGCAGGAAGGCAAAGTTGAAGCATAAATTGATATCACAAAGCAACATGACACAGGCGAAACGGAACTAGGCAGCAACTAAATGGAAATTAATAAAAATTAAGCAAAATGTCTTTATAATCGAATTGAAAGAATAATCCCTCACCTGAAACCCTTTACCTCTACTAATCCCAGTGACATCTACAAACTGTCCGGGAAGGAAATGGCGAACACCAATGGACGTACCAACAGGGAGTAAAGCATCCTCAGTGACGGGGAATTCCCTCAACTTCCGCTTCAAGGGGACACCTTGAGCTCTAAAATGTCCCACCTCAGGTTTTGTCAAATGCTTCTCCTTCTTATGCCCACATCCAACCTTTACGAATAAAAAAAAGGATTATTTTTTACTACACAAACTCTTCTATTCAGGCGATCAATCAATCACAGAGTGTATTCACACTGGAAAGAGAAGACAACTCCAAAGGAAGCACCAGCAATTTCAATCGTAGTCATAACTCGATTTTCAGCAAAAAGATGATATATTTCCAATTCTCCTATTCTTTTATTAAAGTGTTATTGAATCTAAAGTTTAAAATCGGAAATCAAATAAAACTAAAAACAAAAAAGCTTGAAGGACAATAACATAATTGGCAGAATGAATAGGAAATTTAGCCCACCTGGAGGGCAAGGATGCCTTCCTTTTGAGGGGTTTTGACTTGGGTAACGATGTTATCATCCATGGAGAGAACAGTGATGGGAATCCGAGCACCCCATTTGTCCCACAGAGCAGTCATTCCACACTTGAAGGCTATTGCCCCAGTCCGCTTGGAGCTTGGGGTCATCGCCCGGGTCTTGGCTTCCATGATTCGTTGGGGCAATGCATTCTCATGGTGGTATATTTCTGCTGCGGAGGAACTACTGAATAGCTTCCTGGTACCCGAAAGCTGGATGCTAGAGATCAGACCTCTGGATGCTGCCGACATAATCTCCAAGAATCAATTCTCAATTGCAATAAACCTACCGGAGGCGGAGGAGAACGGAGGGAAAGGAATGGAAGTACAGTGTATGGTTTTAGGAGGGTTTTTCACTTTCTCTTTTTTATTTTTTTTAGTTTTTTTTGAAACATTATTGTAATTTCTTTTCCCATATAAATTGGGCAGCTAAACCCCACCGAAGGTTTTATCCTCCTGACTCCTCCACAGTCTCACTCTTACCACCTCTTCTCTCGTTCTTTATAAGAAGAAAAATGCTGTCTGCCATATCTTCATTTGAAGCTCCACCAGCTCTATCCCATTCTAAATCTTCTTTTTTAATAAACCCAAAATCCATCACCAACGGAAATAGGCCTTCTTTCCTTTCATTACCAGCTCAGCCCGCCTCGAGAAGGTTGCTATGCGCCCCTCCTGCCGGAAAATTTATCCGAGAAGACTATCTTGTGGTATGTGCCCCAGTTATGTGTTTATATACCACATTTATCTGTATTTTAGTTGGATTAGCTGTTCTAGTTGGATGGTTTATGATTGAACTCATTGGTTTACTAGGAAGGAATTGGATTCTGGGATGAATTTGTTTGATTGATATAGTTTGATATCTGTTTTTCTGAGGTTTATAACATTTGTTTTGTATTGGGTTTTCTTTTTTTTTTTTTTCTTGGATAGAAAAAGAAATCAGCTGCAGAGATTCAGGAGTTGGTGAAGGGGAAGAGAAATGTGCCTCTGATTATTGATTTCTATGCGACATGGTGCGGTCCTTGTATTTTGATGGCCCAAGAACTGGAAACGGTAAGATGAACAATTTTGATAAAGCTCAAAAAGTGGTGACTTTTAGGCTACTTTCCTTTTTTATAAGAAAAAAAGATTCTGTGATGAATTTCATTGACTAAGTGAATCACACAAATTGGTTTCTCACATTCATGTAATAGGTTTTCTATCTCTTATCGATATTGCTTTTCATTAGAAATAATTATAAATTCGAGTTTACAATGAACATTCACTCAATATCTTGGATGTTGGATCCTGATGTGTTTGTCAGCATTTAACTTTTAGCTTTTACTTGAGTATTGTATTTTTGGTTTGATTGAATATGAAATGGTTCTTAAGTATAGAGTTCTTTTTTTTTTCTTTATGTGTCATCAGAGAATGTCTGCATGTGTAAGGAGCACTTATATTTTCTCTAAAATGATTTGCTTCATGCTTTGGTCCACTGCTGTAGCTGTGACAAACACTTTGCTTTTCGAATAACTATAGAGGAAGTTTTATTAAAGCAGGATTTCGAGCTGTATTTTATCTTTTCAGTCACTTCATTGAATATTTCAGTTCAACTTTTTCTTAGAACAGGAGATTGATTGAAAAATGAAATCTCTTTTTGCCAACTCTTCTTTTGTTGGGTTGATAGTGAATTCAGATGGTTTTCAGTCGCGATCAGTGGTTCTGCTATAGGAGATGGTTTACATGTTTGAAGATATAATTAGCTCTCACAGCCCAAATTATGCGACGTGAACATAGATTTACTTTTCTTGGTTTTCGGCTGATACCATGAGTGTACCAGATAGAGTATATTCTTCTTTCTAAGACTGTAACATCTACATGGACTCATAACAATTTCTAACTCAGAGGCAATTTTAGTGTATATAATCAAGGCCATTGCCATGAAATATCTCCCCCTTACAGTAACTGCTGGAGACTCTTCTCCCCTTCTTAGATATGCATGTATAGCATTAAGCAATTGATATCTCTAGTGTAGCTCATGTTGACAAACATTATTAGCTTTTTGTTTCACATGCATTCTACAAGAAAACAACGACCAAAATGGCCTTTCCCTGTAACGAGAGATTTTTTGTGTGCTTTTCACTTCCTTTGCGTGTATGCAGTTATACAGGCGCAATATAAACTACCATCCACTAAATGTACTAATAAACTTTGGAGGTCTTTGATAAAATTCAGGCGAAAATTACTTCTTTATTTTTCTTTTTTCTGTTTCAAGCAGTAAGAATATATCGTTTTGATTGTGTATATTCATTCATGCAGACTTAATAATCTTCGGTTGTGGACAATACTTGTTTTTCTTGCTGGTTTTCACAAAACAGTACGAATTCTTTAGAACACTTATTATTCGGTTGTGGACAATACTTGTTTTTCTTGCTGGTTTTCACAAAACAGTACGAATTCTTTAGAACACTTATTACAGATTCTCAACTATGTTACATTTTCTTAAGGCAATGGGAATGCCCTGAAAAGTATAGAAGACTTTCTAACCAGAGGGATCGTGCTTATTGGGTGCAATTTATAGGCATCTCTTACATTAAACATGGAGTCATTGGTTTTATATGCTGTTTTGGTAGAGCATTGGTTTTAGTTGTCGTTGAACTTGAAACAAGAAAAAAGCATAAACCAAAAAAAAAAAAAAGGAAAAAAAGAAAAGTGCTAAAGAAATAAGAAAAAGTCTGCAAGGATAGTAGCACTCTTGTTCTACCTTCCAGGTGATTGTCAGAAAACTAGAAAGTCAATGACAGTGAACAGGAAATAGTTCTTAGAACTTAGCTGCAATTGAGTTAGGAAGTTTATATTAAAAACCTGTAGGTTGTAGTTCCTTTTATTTTGTAAATAATTAGGCAATTTGCTCGTAGGTGTAGATTCTTCAAATTCTTTTGTTATCATTGAGTTCTTCTAGGCCTGGAAAAAGTGTGACATGCAGAAATATTAAGTGAAATAATTTCCTGAAATTACTTGGATCCTTATGGTTATTTACAAAAAGTAGTGCATATGTGGTCCTCATACTATTATAAGATTTATGCTTATATCCATTGAAATGAAAGATTCCTCTTGCTTGAGTGAGTAGCCTGAAGATATAGCATAACAGATTTGTATCATTCTTCATACATTCTTTGTTTCATTCAATGCATTCACTCGTTATTCTTTTGTTGCAGTGGAGTATCTGTCTTGTAAATATGTTGATGGGATCATAATACTAAATTCAATATATCATACTCGTCTTGCCTGAATGGATAAGGGATAATTGTCATTCCTGGTTTATTAGGACATTATTTAGGAATAAAATAAAATGGGAAAGTTCATGTTTTGTACCAGTTTATTTACCTAGTTGTAATTAGATCATTGGTCTCATAGATTAAAATGACTGTGAGACTGTCCATGCAATATTGCACAAACACCTGCTTCCAATGGGGCCAGCGAACACTTTTTGTATTAAGGCGAGAAAATTGAATTTTGTAACTGTAATACACATGTCTCTTCATAATCTAGAATGTGTCATTAGAAGTCAATTTTGTGAGTTTGGTAGCAACCATAGAAAAGTGATGCTGTGAACCTAGGTGGTCTTTTGTTTTGTGTGACCAGAAATGGATTTTATACACATACTGATAATTGGGAAAATGTTAGTATGTTACTAAAATTTTACTAGTACTGTTCTTGCTTTTATATTTCTCCTGTACGCTTATGGTTAGATTTTGGGTTTTAGTCCATGGAAGGTGGCCTCTTGAATAAGGAAGAAAGATAAGGTAACGTTGTATACATTAGGTCTTAATGGCTCGACCTTATGCCTGACCCTCCAGCTGCCGGAGCTTGCGCTGCCTTTCTAATGCACAAGTTGGATGTTACCTGTATGCAAAAGATTTTTAGAAAAGAAAATAGATTGCAGTCCCTATTAACTTTGGCATGCATATTCCTTCAAAGCAAGATGCTCGTGATTTAAAATAATTAGTACTCAGCAATGTTTGTATTGAATGAGCTTTAATTTGATTTTCATTTACAGCTTGCTGTGGAGTATGAAAATGACTTGGAGATTGTTAAGGTTGATACGGATGACGAATATGAATTCGCACGTGACATGCAGGTATCCAAGAATCTATCAGTCTGCTTTTCTCGTATTTCACTTTTCCTAGTTTGACTTACTTCATTTGTTATTTAACTTAGATGGTCTAAGCTGAATGTAAAAATTACCATTTCCCGTACTCCATCTATAAGATGATTGTATGATGGAATATGTTGTCTTGTTCAATGTTTAACTTACTTGCAATGTGACCTACCAGAGGTGTTTTGTGTTTTACAATTCCATCTCCTCTTTGGGGGCATGCAACAAAGCAATGTAGACCTACAAGTTCATCAAATTTATAGCTGGAACTTTTCCTGGCTTTTTCTGGCTTATCGGTATTTGAAACACTGACAAATTTGTACAAATTGCTGTCAGGTTCGCGGATTACCTACAGTATATTTCATTAGTCCAGATCCAAACAAAGAGGCAATTAGAACTGAAGGGCTCATCCCACTACAGATGATGCGGGATATCATTGATAATGACATGTGATCAGTTACTGCTGAATACAAATACATGGATGGAGAGGTCCTGCTCACGATCAAATGTTAAGAAATTTCACTTTTCTTCTTAGTTGCAATCCACACATTTTGGCTGTGGGATCTTTCCTGGAAAAGGCAATCTTGAGTGGGTTGCATCGTGGCATTTCATCTGTGTTGAGTAGATTTTGTAGTCTTGTATAGACTTAGCTGATTACCTTTTAGAATTGTGTCTCTCCAATCAAGACTCGGCTGCTTGGTTGCTTTTGATAAAGCTGGTAGGTAGAAAATTGAATATTTTTGGAGGTAGCTTGAATAGTAATGATAGTGGTACTAGTTACAGTATTCAGCATTTGGACCTTGCAGCTGTATTTATCGAGTTAAATTACTAATAAATTTGGCCCTTGGTTACGTGACTTTTGGTGTATATTTATGCTTCTTGGCTGAGAAGGAGCTGTTTTTTATGTCCTGCCATTTTGTTCATGATATTTACATTATTTTTAATCAATATCATTAATGCGTAAATGAAAAAAACTTAAGGATGCAATCAGGTTATTAAAAAAGTTTCTTCCATCAGAAGAAAGTTGAGAATTTAGATCATGGTTAGCTAAGAGAAGAAATAATTAACCTCTCTATATTTAATCCGATATTCGTAGAAATGATAATCTTTTTCTTTTCAATGATTATTTAGTTTGGATTATTATTATGAATATAATTTGAATAAAAGTTTAAAATTTGAATTAGACAACAGTTATGAAACTGGATTTTTTTATTTAAAAAAAAATAGAAACCTCTTCAAGAATAAAGACTACTCATAAATCATACACTATAACAAATAAATTTTATCCATTATTTAGTTCTTGGAAATAATGTCATGTGTACTTTCTTCACATGGTTGTTACTAGTTGTGAATGAAATTTTTGTATAATTCCTTTTTCTCTCGTTACCTTCTATCAATCACATATTTAATATTTTTAGAAAAAAACAAAATACATAGATTGTTGTTCTCATTTTCCTTCTTCATAGCGTCAATATTGGTGTAAATGACATTTGAGTTTTAGGATGTTGAATTAGTTTAATGAGATAGTTAATATTATGGGAAAAATTGGCCTATCTACCCAAAGGTTGACATGCGTTGTCAATTCTACCCTATTCTTTTTCGATTAGCCAATATTACCCTAAGCTATTCAACTGTTAACCGATTTTGTCCAATTGGCCAATTTCCGTTTAAATTGACGGAATTCTATTAGTTTTAATTATAAAAAATAATAGTTTTGAAAATTATAAAAACAACCCTAAAAATTTGTAAAAATAACCAAACAATCATTTTACACTTTTTATTTAATTTTTTCTGTTTTTTATTTATTTTTTATTATTTCTCATAACTATAAAAATATATTATATGATCTTTTAAAAATAAATATTTCTTTTTAAACACTACTATGCAAATTAATTTTTAATAATATAACTTGCAATAATGATATTAGTTTTTTAATCCTTTTTTCAATTTAAAGAATAATATTTTTGACTAAAAACTAATTTTTTACAAAAAAGTAAAACATTTAGCGTAGATTAAAAATTAATATATTAGTAGATTTTAATTTATTACAAATTGAATAAACAAACTATAGATTGTATTATCCAATTCAAAAATTACTAAACTAAAATATAGTGTACAATCTAGTGTTTAGGGTGTTGAGTTTCATGATAGTAGATATAAGATTAATTCTCACTAAGAATTTTTAACCGGGAGAGTGATTTTATCCACATTTATACATGGTTTACTAAAGGTGAGAGGGTTGAGTTGGATGGTCAGGTGATTTAAGATGGAAGATGATTATTACTGTGTTCGAGGCCTCAATTCTCACTGGGTCGATCTTTTTTTTTTTTTTAAAGGTGGAGTCCAGTACTTGAGCATATTTTTTTTATTATTATTAAAAAAAATTTTCCTACTAAAGTTAGATGTTAATATCTCAAAAAAATTATCACGAAATGTTAAACTCTCGCAATGATAAATATACATATTTTTTTATAAAATATTTTGTACCATTTTTTTTTACTTTCTGTTTGTACTTGGCCTTTTAAAGAAAATGTGTATTTTAGTTTAATTATTTTTTTAATTTTACAATACAATCTAAATTCTATTGAATTATATTGTAATAATACATTAAAGTATACCAATAAAAAAATTTAATCTATGCTAAATGTTTTATTTTTTGTACAAAATTATGTTTAGTTAAATAATCTTATTTTTTAGATTGAAAAAAATAGATTAAAAAAATAATATCGTTACTGTTAAACCATATTATTAAAAAATTAATATGTTTATGTAAATCAACCATGAGTAACGAATATGCATATCTATTAATTTGCAAAATAGTGTTTTAAAAATAAATAGCTTTTTTTTAAAAGATTATAGAATATATTTTTATAGTTATGAGAAATAGTGAAAAGAAATAGAAAACAGAAAAAATTAAATAAAAAGTGAAAAAGACTGTTTGGTTATTTTTACAAATTTTTTGGGTCATTTTTATAATTTTCAAAACTATTAAGGTATTTTTTATAATTAAAACTAACGGAATTCCGTTAATTTAAACGGAAATTGACAAATTGGACAAAATCGGCTAACGGTTGGATAGCTTAGGGTAATATAGGTAACCGAAAAAGAATAGGGTGAAATTGACAACGCGTGTCAATCTTTGGATAGATCGGCCAATTTTTCCTAATATTATGTCATGGCCATTGGCCACGTAACTCTGAAAATTTTATATAATGTTCTTGCATTAAAATTAAAAGTCGATATCATTTTTTGGATGATTTTTGTTTTTTAGTCGGTTCATTTTCTACACGGTCTTTGGGGATAACTTGATTTTACGAGAAGTTATTCAGTGCAACTTCTGTATCATGTAGGATTGTACAGGACAATAATAGGGTAAAAGTAATAATTTTGGGGGAAGAAAAATAATTTATACAAGAGTTTTAACATCAAAGGGTATTAATATTTGTTGCATTAAAAACCAGGATACTGCAGTTGTACCGGATAATTTTTCTGACTTTACCCAATTTGAACTCCCCTCGTCTGAACAACTTCAAAGAAAAAATACAGTACATAAATTTCTTCAAATCCGCGGGAACCATTTCCTTTGTTTTGTTCTTCTTCCCAAACTACTCCAACTGCAAAAACATTCTGTTCTGCACTCGAATCATCACACTTATTCCGTCCCTAGCTTCGGCCGGAGTAGTTGATCAATCCGAGCAAACCCTCTACTTTCTGCTGACTGTTAGCAAGGAGAAATCTCTGCCGGAATTGAACAATTTTGACAACAATATCGGAGTTCTACCGATCTTAGGGTTTCCGTGCTCCTCAAAGGTAATCATTGCTAATACTACTTAAATCGCTTGAAGTTTGCTTGCATTACTCGACATTGTTAGTTTTCGAGCTTAGTTGCGGATTGCGTTAAGTGAGGCATTATTTTACTAGCCAGTCAATTTCCCCTAATTGTCCTGCATTTTACCCTTGCGAATTTTGCGGCCATGGCTGGTCGGAGAGTTGATGCTGTAATGATTGAGTTATTGTTTTGTTTTTTGCTTTTTTCTAGTCTCTTGTTTCTGAATGAAGTGCCTAAACATGGTTTTGCTGCATCTAAAACCAGACTTTAATCCGAGGGGACTTTGTTTTTTCTTTTTTCTTTGTTCTTTTCTGATAAATGTGCAATGATTATGGTTTATGCTCTTTTAAATGTGCATTGTATTCGCTCTCAGTGAAATATATCTTTTTGATTCAATAATTTGAAGTGAGAAGGAGCCGAACTTAGGAGGTGCATGATATTGCGCATGATTTGATTATTTATGAATTTTTGGTAAGCGGTGAAGGTGAAAATATCTGGTGTTTTGAAGCACAAAGGTTGATGGTTAATCTACTTAGCTGCCATAATTTCCATGAATTACAGTGGGAAGGAAGGCTAATGATGCTCAGTCTGGCAATAGTTCAGGTAGAAGAATAGAAGATCATGATGAGGGACTTTGAATTCTGGGTCAAAAAAGGACACTTCGAGCATAAACAATTTGAGGGGATTCATTATCTGCATCACTCACGTCAAGTCCATCAATGTCTGCACAACTTGAGAAACGGACAGCTTCCCCATATCCCATGGTTCCAAGGAAATCTCAGTGATAAGAGAAGCAGAGCTCCCTGAGTCCTCTGAGGAGACCAGATAGGTCTCAAGTTTTACCAACAGAAACTGGATCAAAGAGCTTTGACAAAGTCTCCAGTTCAGTGGTGGGACAAGTAAAGAAGGAAACAAAGAAAGAGGAGTGTAGAGCAGTTGAATATAGAGGGTGAAAAAGTTAGCCTGGGTGGAGACCATGACCATAAAGCTTGTAGGTTGGAAAGGGAGGCGACTGCTGCTTGTCATTATAGGTCTCACTTTGTGCCACAGAGAAAACTATGCTTAGTAAAAGGTAGGTTCATATCCTAATAATGATTGTTTTTTTTTGGATTATTTTGACATGTATTGACCAGCCATAAAACGTTTTTAAGTTTGGCTATTGTTGGCGGAACAGTTAGATGTATGCCTAAGTTTCTTCTTCTCCCATCCTCCACCCCATCCCCCACATTTATGCGCAATTTATGATGGAGTATAATAGTCAATATTATAATTAGCGTTACCTGACTACAAATGGAATTTCATTAACATTAATGTTTTAAGTTGTACTCCTTGGTTCACGTCTATAAATGTAGTTCACTTTGTTAACAAAATATACTATTTTTATGGTGTTGGAGGGAGTTATTTACAAGTAGAACTAGATTTTGGATTACTAGAATCCGAAATATAATCCGCTGGCATTTGCTATTTCTAGCCCATCACAGGGGTTTATTTGTTAATTTATCCCTTGTGTTCTCTTTCAGATCGTGACAATCCAGACAACTTGGCAGCTGGTTCCCGACCAATTGGGCATCTGGAGGACGTAAGCTTTGGTCGTGTGCTCATGGAGATAAAACCATCTCTGGAGGAAGCCCCCTATGAGAGTAATGACACTGGAACAAAGCGCCGTAAAGTTGCTGATGCTAGAGATACTGCTTCGACTTTTCAACTCAAACTGGAAGAAAGTGCTCAATCTGCAGTTTCAAACGGTGGTAAATATTTCTAAAAGATACTAGTTCTTAAGTAAAAAATAATCATTTCAACTGCTATCGCAGTGCATCTAGTTTGTATTTGGTTGTTGAGATGAATTTTCTGCTTATGCTGCCCCTTATCAGTCTGGATCTTTGCCTTTGTCAGATGCTCATGGATTGGATAAGGGAAATGATTGTCTCTCCCCGAAAGATTCTTTCTCAGATGAACAAAGGTGCCTACATAAATACCTGAGTGCTGAGATGGAAAAGCTTTGTGAAGTTCTACAGCTTCCGGTAAAACTTCTATTTTTTTTTTTTTTTTTGAGTTTCCTTTAGTAT